GTGGCTATGAATCAGTGGCAAGGTGTATACCATCTGTGCACATAAAAATAAATCCACTACTGTAATTATGCAGACGAAATACTCAATATGCTGCATGAAGGATGATCAGAGTTCAGATTAAGCCACAGCATTTCGCAGCCACTTAAAATGCATAAAAGATATGAAAATAAAACTCCAGGAAAAAACATTAAGATTATAATAAAGACTCAACAATTTTTTGTGTTTTTTTAGATTTTTTTTTTTTTTATCCAAACAATGGGTCAGTGTCCATATGCTGCCAGTCTCTCCCAGGTACTGTAGGTATTGATTTTTTGCACATAAAAGCATCATAAATAATGAGAAAGAATTGCTTTTCAAATCATTTATGTGAGGGCACCATAAACATTCGGCATGTCAAGTCTGTGCAGGCTGCAGTGCTCTTACTGCTGATGGTAAATTAATCATGAGGACGTACTGCCTGAGCATTACGTCCTACAACATGATGGCATCTATTATTAACACAGACTTGTACTTTTGTATCAGTTTAAAAAGGCATAAATGCTCCCAACATAAGTTTGACAAACAAATCTATCCTCGTAAATCTCCACTCTCGCAACATTGTGACGAAAGCACCATCACTTGCAATATTTCGCTTAAATTCTAGACAATTAAAACAATTGACATGTGTAAAGCATCGATATTTATATATTTTAAGACAAATTTCTGCAAAAATAACCTTAGAATTAATTGTCATAAAAACTTGTGCATGCATCACTCATGTTAACGTAGCTGCAGATCATCCACAACTCCTCATGGACACCACACTCAAGGGAAATGCACATGAGGAGAGTTACGGTGTCCTGAAGCAGCTGATGCCCATCAAATGTCACCTCTAAAACACCGTGTGTTGTGCTGAAGAGCACCAAGACAGAGCAGATTACTGAGCTTTAGCTGTGGATAGTTTTGTTATAAGTACCGACGCTTCTGAGTAGGACAGGCTCCAAAAGGATCATCTGCAGACCAGATGTCACTGGTGGTTGGTTTGTTTTTAAAATAAAAACATAATAGTAGCATATATTTTTTTATTCACAGCATAAAGCTAATGAGTGTTGCTCTTTAGTTTCAGCTCTAGTGTTAAACCAGAGCTGATGTTGCAGCCAAAAGGTTCAATGGCTGCATTAAAACGCATCAAGAAATCTAAAGATGTTCCACATTGTAAATGTGAATTTAAATGCTCATAGCTTGCTTGTTACATAGTAAATGTAAATTCACTAAAACATATTTTCTGGTAAAACGGTTATTCCCTCCTCAGCTGTATTCTGAACACAAACAGATTTCCTAATATCACTATCTCAACCTATAAAGAAGTTTTTAAAGAAACAGTCAATGTTTGCAAACCCTATTTAAAGTCCTCACTGGCTTCTGCAGTACTGAAAAAGGAAGGCAAACCAATTTCAAGTGTGATTTATTAACACAATACAGCACTATAAAGTCTGACAGAATATATAAATTCAGTTAAAAAATCGTGAATGAGTGCAGGGTAAAGGTTTGAGAAAACAGAGATGCACCAATCAATCAGCCAGACATCATGATCAGCCCTTTTTCCCTTGATCACCTCAGCCTGGTGATTCACCAGATTTCTTAATCAGATCTTTTTTTTTTTTTTTTTTACACATTATTTAAGGAATTCAACCTATTTTTAGGCTAATAACATCTGCCTACAGCATGTGCTTGATTCCCTGTTTTAAGTTGAGTAAAAATCAGGTACAACTTAGGCACATATGCTAATGAGAATCTCAAAACTACTACTTCCTTCAGGGAGCCTGTTATAGTGCTTAGAAATGTTTTGGCAGATCAGTGCTGCAGTACCACACTGAGTATGTTGTAAACAGGAAATATGTGGAGCTTGTGTCAGAATGCTCTTCAGTAATGGTCAATGCTGGGATGACTGTGCACTTAGAGAAAGCTGTTATGATAAGAGTAGAAAACAATTATTGTGGTGCTCACCAGAGCAGACGGGTCGGCCAGATAGGCCCGAAGAAGACTTCTGGAAAGGCTCGGATTTAGCCCTCTTTCTGTGACTGAATGTAATATAATTTGGTCTAACACACAGCAAAAAAAAAAAGTCCTGGGGATCTCACTTTTAAGTAAGGTAATATAAAAGATATAATATCCCTATTCGCATTACCAGGCAACTCATTTCAATTAAAATGAAAGTCGTCTATCAAGTCTAAAGCCAGACGCTGTCTTCTTGCTGCTGAAATTCTTATGGGTTCTTCACAAAGGAATATGTTAAAGCCAGATTCATGATCTCAAGAAAAACCATTTAAATCAGCCATGTGCTGCGATGTTGCTCTCTTTCCTTCTGCTCATTTCTCATTCTGCCTCTCTGTTTGTTAGCACACTCAGTCTCTGCACTCTCTTTATGAGGAACCTAAGGGGGGATACTAGGAAGAAATCCAGATATAAAAAAATCATGAGATAACAAGCAAGCTATGAGCATTTAAATATACCCCACACAATACACAGGCAGGACACAGGGATCTTTTCTACAAAGATATGGTACAGATGCTTGCAAAAGTATCCATTCCACTTGAACTATTTCATATTTCACTTATGGATTTTATGTTACTGACCAACATGAAGAGGTGCACAATCCATGCAGAGGATGGAACATGATCCTGAAATTCCTTTTTTTTTTCACAATTACAAATCATAACATTGTGGGAGTGCATATGTATTGTGAAGATCAATGGACACAGCAGACAGATCAAGGATAAAAGAAGGGAATAAATTAAAGTATTAAAGCAGGATTCAGTCATAAAAACATGACACATTCAAAGCTTTGAACATCTCACACAGCTCCGTTCAATCCATCCTCTGGAAAGTGGAAACAGCATAGCACAACTACAAACCTATAGCAACAATGGCAATTCACATTAATTGACAGGCCAAAAAAGAGGAGCCAGACAAAAAGGCAACTCTGAAGGAGCTCCAGAGAACCGCAGCTCAGGTGGAAGATGCAACTGACAGGCAACTATTAGAAATGAAATTCACAAATCTGCACTTAAGGGAAAAGTGTCAAGGAGAAAAAAATGCTTTTCCTAAGCAAAGACAGGGGAGTTTAAAGGAAGATAGACATTACAAAATATGGAGCAACAATGAAAGAAAGCCTGCTATAGTTACAAAGAACTTGAGACTCGGGAGGAGGGTCATCTTCCAGTACAACAAAGACAATAAATATACAGTCGGAGTCATATTGGAAAGGTTTAGTTCAAATCATTTTCATGAGCTGAAAATGGTTCATTTCCTTCTGATCAAAGGTTCCAGTTGAGAATCTGTGACCAGACTTGAAAACTGATCTATGCAGAAACTCTCAGCCTACCTGAACAAGAGCTATTTTGAAAAAAATTAAATGAATAAAATAAATATCAGTCCGTAGATGTGGGAGGTACAGAGCTGGTTTCCCCTAAAATGTCTGCAGTTGTAATTACATAAAAATGTGGTTCTACAAACTATTGATTTGGGTAGCCTTTAACACATATGCACACCACACTTTTCAGATTTGTAATTCTGAAAAAGGCTAGAAAACTTTGTTTCATTTCCTTCTGCTTCACAGTTATGCACTATTTTATGGTGGTTTGTCAGATATGCCAAAATAATATATTAAAATTTGCAAACCTAATGCAACGACATAAAAAATGTCAAGAGGTATGAATAGTATTGCAAAACACTGCACATAAGAGCAGAATGTTTTCATAAAATGTTACACCTCTGAATTTCTCCCTGCCATAAGTCATAGTCTCAAACAAAGCATCAACTCTGCACCTTGCAATTTAACCACACGAGGGAACGCTCGCAGCAAATCTATAAATCTATTTGCACGCCAGCCTCAGAAACTGTTGCACAGCGACTGCAAGCAGGTGCGGCAAATCCACGATGCAGCAATGTGTGTTAAGGTTTACAACTGTTGAACTGTGTAATTAGGCAATATCAGATCTTGTTAGAAGGGTAATCCCTAACACACACCCACACCGAAAATACCGACATCCAAGCTGCCACATGTGCCCACAGACATGTTCCCTGTTAGTATTTGATCAGTTTACGGCTGCATTATTTTAAGCCATCAATGTGGGTTTAATGGTAGTAGGAGGGCAAATACTGAAATGGCACAAGATTTCTTTTAGGGAGGAGATAGAACAGCACTGTCTCTAGAGTAAATGACCCATTTCTGACCAGCTGCAATTTTAATCTCACAGCATATTAATTTGAGAATGAGATCTGGTAACTAAGACGGCTATGGCATATGTTTTGGTCCTGCACTCTCAATGACGTTGGTGATATCTGATGGGAGCAGTGACATCCTACACAACGCTGTCATCAGGGAGACAGACGTCTGCTGCTGGCAAGGAGGAAGGTGTGTTTTTCAGAATGACCCTGTATTTACTGGAAATCACGTCAAAGAAGCCTGTAGTAGAACCGACCCACCCCTCTAATACAAATTGGAGACACTTTGCATTTTTTTTTCTCCGCCTCATTTTATTTTTATTATTAAATTCTGAAAATCATCACCTTGAATGTGAGGTGAAAATTATGCTTCTAAGATTCAAGTTGTAACATTTACTCGGTCCTGCCTGAAATTGTCGCTTTCATTCATGATACTGAATCCTCAGGGCAGACATCGTAGAAAAAGGGCGTAGAAATTCCTGTTGAAATTGCTTAAAGCTACATTTACGTACGATTGCTTCCGTTTACTTGATCGATTGAAAGCAAATCGACAATGACAGACTTGGTGCCAAAATTAAGGAGGTTTCAAGAAGAGGTTGTTAATAGTGTTGACAAGGGTATTGAAATAAATAATTAAGCGCCCATTCATGTCTATCTACACGCAGTCGGTTGAGCCTATATCTACGCTGGTGGTTGAACTAATGTACGCTACAGCACGCTGCCATGAATCCTCCCTGATTTCGCTTCATTGCCCACACTTTGGGTAGTGGAGCCTCCCTAGCTATCTCGGCTACCTGTTAATCCCCGGCCCGGACGCAGCCCCACTTCCTCCGGCTGGCGCTCCATTGCTGGGCTTGATGAGCTGTCCAGAGTCCGGTGGTGCTGAAATGGAAGTCGGAGCCCCCGCTGCAGGGACGGCGGCGCCGGGCTGTCCCGCCTGTCCCTCCCCCTCCATGCTGGCCTCGTTCCCCATTGCTTCGGGATAGGTCTCGACGGAGAGAAACGGTGGTTGTGGGTGGTTTTTACAGCTGGGGTAAAAACTCGGATGGAACTCAGCGTCGCTCCCCTTCCGCCATCATCACCTACAATCCAGCATCCCGCACGGAGCACGCGCGCTGACGGCGAGGCCGAAGGAGCGCGCTGACGCAATGGGTGGTGACTTGTAAGGCTCGTACGTGCGCGTTCACAGTGATCAGCTATCTTAAACAGCACGCAGCCACCCTTCTCAACCCCCTACATCAGGATTGAGTGGCATTTTATTGTTAAAATTTAGTAAATATTATAATTATGAATGACATACTAAGTTTTTACAATAATAAAAGAAGTCTATAAGCAGAATTTAATTTAGGGTACCATTATCAGTAAATCACCACCAATCTCACCAATAATATCTCTTTGAAATAGTCCAAGCTTGATTCTTTGCGTATTGTGCATTTAACACCTCTTAATAACTTTGAGAGGTGTTAAGGCATTCCTATTAATAAGCAGTAGAAATCGTGTTCTGGGAGCAAAGAGAATGATTAAAATTTGATTTACTTTTTTTTGTCCCATCATGGAGGTAGAAGTTCAGTCCTCAACAGCTAGCATCTTGCAACCTTTAGATCAGTGGTCTCAAACTGCATTCATCGGGGGGCAGAGTTCTGCAACTTTTAGTTGTGTCCCTTGTTCTCCACGCTTGAATCAAATGGCCAAGCAGCATCATTAATATTCAGTCAAGCTTTACAGAGCTCTAACTTGCAGATTAACACTGTCAAGAACTGGATTTGGCCACCCCTGTCTTATGGCATCGCATGCTGACCAAGTCAAAGACTACCACAAAGACTGGCAGTTGTGTTTTCACTACAGTATTAATAGCTTAGACTCAGGAGCGTCTGGAAGGAGGGACCAATATAATTGGTTGTGCTTACAAGCACACATGGAAAACTGCCATTCATCGATCAGCAGATTTACAGTTATGTAGGCATGCATAAATCTGACTCCAGCACAGACACAAGTGGTAGAAATAAATGACGAATGATGAATTACCAGCACTAAATAGAAAATAAATATCGAACTACAAATATTGTCCTTTGTATGATTACAAGGACATTGTTCAGTTAATTTATGACTCTTTTACATGTGCTGTAGGTACATTCTGCATACATGTAGCTCCAGATTTGAAGTTTTGACATCTGTAATTCATGAGAACTAGCCTGGAGGACCTAGGCAGCATCCTGGGCCAGCTCTGACAGCACAGCAAGAAGGCAAACACTTCCTCTCCTATGTGTTAAAGTTTGGAACAAGGAGCTACACTACAAATGCACAACTTTGCATTTACACATAACTAAAGCTTTCTACCATTAATAATTTTAAATTAATATCAAAGCAAAAAAAAAAGTATACTGCTTACTATTTTGATACTAATTTAAGTAGCATAGTTGCATAAACTGACAAACTAAAAATCATTCAGAAAATTAAAAGTAGAGGAAAATTAATGACAAAGGCAGCCGATTGCTATTTACATGCAATCAGAACAAAAACTAAATGGGAAGTTTTAAAAATCTGCCTAAGTGACCAATATTTTTTTTTTTTTAAATGTGAGTAGCTTTCGTTACAGCAAATAGATCTGAAACGGTCCAACTTGGTCTGAATGATTACTCTCCCTAGTGTATGGCTACTGTCACTACAACCGATCCACAAAATCAACCAGTGTACAAACCTATAAAAACTTTTTTTTTTTTTTTTACATAAATCTAAAGCAACTCATTTAGTGACTCCCAATCAGTCACATTTAAAACTCCAAAAGTCAAAGAAATTTGGCTTAGACTAAAGTGCTTTAATAAACCAACTTTATTTCAGAATAAACTGGCAAGCACAGAGAATTACCAAATTTAGTCTACGGGCCAAATAACATGTAAATATATACAAAAATATAAAGCAGCACAAATTCAACTTAGCTCACTCCGAGATCCAAAACGGGTACAAACACAAAACCTGTGTGTATATCTGCAGAATCCCCTAAAGACACATAAACAAGTAAAGACCTTTAAAATAAAAAAGGTATTTCAAACCCTTACAGTCATATTGTCAGTTTTAAATAACATGATAAAAAGACAACGGTACGTTACTGGGTAAATTCCTCCACTGAATGTGTTGACGCTGAAATTTACTGAAAGAGTAAAAAAAAAAAAAAAAACCACATTCAATACTTCATTGGCACTGAGAAAATATCGACTTTTAGTTAACAGTTCAGTTTTACATAAGCTCGAGCTGCTTGAAAGTACTGGCGATAAAAACAATGCAAGCATCACACGAACAAACATTTACGAGAGCACGACCAAAAACAGATTTCATGAAGCACAAAAGAAATAAAACAAAATACAGCACAATACTGTCGAAAGGAATGATTTTTCAGAAGTGAAGCGACATCATGTTATTCCTTACAGTGATTGCTTGGTGTTCATTTGACTTTGACTGTGATTACTGGCGTTTGGCTTTGTAAGGTCGGGAGCGTTTCCTTCGATCAGGCTTCCTCTGCTTGTGCAGCCGGCCGATGCTCACTCCCTGCCGGCGGCGCACAGAGATGTTTTGCTCCACGAGGCTGGCCAGCATGCCTGTAGAATATGCACCGAAATATCAGGGAAGGCAAGAGGACAATATTAGCATAAGTGGAAGGTAGTTTTTTTTGTTATTAATCTTGGGTCAAACAGATGGAGAGGGATAAAGGTTTATGTAGCGTGTGACAGTGTTTTTTTTTTTTTTTTTGTCTAACTGGTGAGATTCTTCACAGCTCAAAAGCTTAGGGCAGACATCCCGAACTAACAAGTTTCAGTGTGGAAACGTCCAAGAGTTTGACACGAATGGTTTAACACAGACCTACAGAAAATACACCCGGTCCTGGGCTTGTGGTCAATCTGCATAGCTAAGCAAGAAAAACATTAACTGTCTAAGAAGCGCAAAGTTAAAGATCAACACTTGTAAAACATATTAATCATCCACCCATCCAAGTCCATCTCTGTCGCTTTTTTGAGTGTCTTTTTACTATTTTTGACATGGAAACAAATGCAGATATCTTGACCTTGGAAGGTCAAATAGAACTGATTGTAAAACATTGTAAAGAAAACAACACGTGAAGCCTTTCGGGGGGCATGAGATATGTGAATTTTCATATGGTAGGTTAAACGAGCCTGAGGCAGCTCATTTTTTAAGGATTTTTATAAGAATGAAGATCCTTACAAGAAAGTTAAGCCCAAGACCAACACATTTTTACAATTTAACATTAAATATCCTGAAGATAAGTGAAAGTGGGGCTTCTTTAATCTTTTTAATACACCCGATCTTGTTTAAATATTGAAAATATTTTGTTTTTAACCTTGAGCCAACAGCCTAGAAGCAAGAAGCTGTGCAAAATTTTTACTAGCTTTCGTTAATTAGACCACAAGAGAGTTTTAAATGACAGACTTTAATAAGAGGGGGAAGAAAGATTAAAAAACAGCAACAAGTATCAAAAACCACTAGTTTTTTTTTTTACCTTCTTGGGCCAACATTGATATAAATGTGCAGATAAACTCGTCGTAATTGTGAGTCCTCCTCTGATCATCTATCTGCACAAGTAAAATAAACATTTAGACTCAAAGTCGACAAAAACAAATTTCGACCAAAAACAGTGAATTCAAGGTGAAATAACAAATGCACTTACTTTGAATTTCTTTCTCTTTTCTACTTCCTCCTTTAGAAACACCTCATAATTGGCAATGTCAGCTTCTACACACTTGAGTAGTGCAAGCAGCTCCTGCAAAAGGCAATGAGGTGACTCGCTGCTTGTGTTTACGTGTTTCTACCCATCACAGGCATCAGCTTTCTTACCGGCAGCACAAGCAAAAAAAACAAGATCTAAAGGTGCTATACAGTCCAAATATGCCCTGTAAGGATATGTAGTGCAGCACTTTACAACAAAGGACTTACTTTTGGAGAGTACTTATCCCCTGGTGGCTTGCTGTCTGCTCCAGACTCTGTAACATTGAGCTTTTCCTTGCCAGGTTTCAACTCTGCACCGTCTTCGTTCTCGTCTTCTTTCTTCACCGCTACAGATGGTCCCTCATCTCCTTCCTTTATGGCATCTTTTTCATCTTCCTTCACTTTGAGTTTTACCTTCTCAGGGGTGCAGAGCTTCGTGCCTTCAGCAGAATCTCCTGTACAGGTAATGAAGACAGATGCAGCATGTGGTTTACAAATTAGGAACTCGAGTTTTACTTGAGAAAACTAAGACGGCGGCGTTCACTTCCTGTTCGCTCACCAGATGGAGGGAGAGCATAAATGACTCCGTCGTCTTGCAGGTGCAACAGCGACGCACTGACTGAAGGTCCCAGCTCTCTTACGGCGCGGTTGTGTCTGGAGTCCAGCCTCAACATTTCATCCTCTCCGAACAGCACGCGGGACAGATGGGACGCGACTGGGCTCGAGGGACGAGTGGCCGCCTGAGAGCGGGCCGGCGAGCGCAGCGGGGAGTTGAAGGCGCTGCCAATTTCAGAGGCCGTGTCTGTGCTTTCGTTGCTGGGCGTGGGGGAAGGCTGCGAGGCGGACGTGATGCAGATACCCCCGGTGCGACCTTCAGTGCGCACAGACAGAGGGGTGTTTACGCCGTCTTTTCTTTGAGCTTCCTTCTTCAGTTTCTCTGCCAAAACGTTGAGGGCGATCTGGCTCTCCATCCCGGTCCCAACCCGTCCCGTTCTGGACCGCAGGCTCGCCTTTCGTCTGAATCTGAGAAATGAAAAGAAAAAGAAACATATTTTAAAGATCTTATCAAAACAAACATATTCATTATTAAAATGTTTAGAATTCTCTTTTAACTTTAACATCTCTTTTTTTTTTTTTTACCCCCAACAAACCTCTGTGATTTTTGGAGGGATTTGTCTCATTTAAAGGAAAATCTTGTTTGTAAAAACAATATAACAAAGTTAAATTTAAAAACTCTGATTCTGAATGCTTCACTTTCTCATTCTGACACTCTGATGTGGTTACCAGAATGTTTCACAGCGGGAGTAGTTTGTTCAGAATTGCGTCTTTTTCTTATCAGGGCCAAAAAGTTACATTTTTGTCTCTTCTAACCACAGAATCTTGTTTCACATGATTGCCGTTTCCCCAACATGA